AACTTCATATCTAGTGTGATCCCTGAATTTTTTGGCATGAATTTTAACTCCTCTACTATTTACCTGTGTATAGTGTACCTGGTCACTGAAAATGCATGGGTCTTAACCACTTCAAAAAAATTACCTGTGTATCATGTGACCCCCTATTTTTTGCATAAAAAAATCTACTGCTCTATACTAGAATATATACAGTAACTAAATTGCTTAACAACTACAACACTCAGTTGCCATTTGTAAAGTAAAAAAATAAAATTTGATGAATCTAATTAGAAATACATTGGTTAATTAAATTGGGACTCTCTTCTTTGTCTCAATATTTTCTGATATGATTCAGGTCCAGATATACAGAAACAAACTGAGGGTCTAATGATTGCTTGAATTGTGAAACTGACAGTTATCATGCAGTGTTGATTCCTCTGTCCACACTATATATAAGTACCATAATATTAAGCACTGCTCATAAATCCATCAAATTTTAAGCAATATAATAATCATGAAACCATATAATAATTATCAATGTGTATTTATTTATATATTTCCTGTCTCATCTGTAGTGGGAAGGGAGGTAAATCAGCTTAAGTTTGTAAATTTATGTGTGCTTTCTTCTCTTAGCCATTTTAATAATCTATACAAATAAAATATTTATCTTCATTTAGTCAAAATTAGTTCCCAAACAAAATGAACCGTTTAATTAATCAGTTCCTTTACTCTTACATTTCTTAGATTGCAGTCTTGTTTGTTCAAACCTTTCCTGTTAGGCACTGAAATATCTTTGTCTATTAAGTCAGTGTCTTACTTCAGCCGGGTCTTGAAATAGGCCTTGTCACCACTGTTTTTGTTGTTCTGTTGCTAATATTTTTCTTACAAGAGATATTTCCATTTCAATGTTAAACATTAAATTTTTAACATGAAATGATATTAAGCAAAAAGTGATTTATATATCCGGAGTATCAATGAATCCTAGATACCATTGAACATCTAAAAAATATATAGGCAATGGATTAATTGAACAGTTCTTTGGCCTCTATATATCTACTTTATTGAATTTCAATACATTGTTTCAAAATATTTCTTTCATTGGATCTTACTATTAAAACTTTCTAACAATAGCTGCCATTCTTGACAGCACAGGTATGCAAGTCATATCATAATTCTACTCGTTACTTAGCATGTGCATATTACCCTGTAAAGCTTACCTGTCCACAAATTTAACTGTATCTGTATACATGGTAATATTTTAATCAAAACATATTGTTGGTAGAGACTGATAGCTTACCAAATTTTCCTTTTCCCACTCGGTGATATCATCAATGATATACCATCTTCCTCCAGTTTCTCACACCTGATGTAGAAATAATGTTTAGTGTTGCATTTTTATATATGTATTTTGGAAGTAGTGTTCATGTTAATTTGTACACATACAGAAAGTACAAAACATTATTTTTACATGAATTTTTAATTTCATTGCTTAAAAACCTGTGTGAGCATTACATGACTCATGTCATTACTTGTATCTATATGTATACAAAATTTATTAAATTTTATATAAAACTACCTTCAGGGTATGTTATTAAATGTAGAGATATTGTGCTTATTCTTAGGTTCCATTCCCAAGCTGCCCCATTATATAGATGCTATATTTTAATGTATTTGTTGTTTATAGGTTTTTTATAGGTACAAATAATGTATAAACAATTAATATATTAAAATGATTGTTGGACTTGGTCCATTTCATAATATATGATGTAATTTGTTTATGTTAAGATACACTTCGAGCAGATATGAGCGCTCAAGAGAAATCATGGGAAATTTGTAGTTTAAAAACAGTAATTCAACCTTGCTAACCAGACACTTTCCTCTGTAGCTAAATAATATAGCCAGTCAGTCTATATGACAGTTCCATATAGGATACAGGTTCGATTCCTGTCAGGACACATATTTTTTATTAGATTTTATGGACATTCTGGCTGGTCAATGATATCAGTACTGTTTATTATAAATGGAGAATTTACTTAAATATTTGTATCTATAAAAATAATGTATAAACAATAAATATATTAAAATAATTGTTGGATTTAGTCCATTTCATGCTATATACAAATTAAATAGCCTTTATTATAAAATACAAAAAAAAAAATAAATCTGAAAACCAAAGCACTTCCATTCCCAAGAATTTCAGATAAAGGATTCTTAACTTATATATATTTGGTCAATCCCTCTTTAATACATCTTTCATTGAACAAGCCTGACAAGTGAATTTTGTTTGTGTCTTCTTTTCTGGACTTCATGAATGTAAAAATTGGAAAAGCTTAACAAATAATGAGAGAAAACTGAAAGCAGTATACCTTGAAAATAGCAAATAAAACAAATAGGTGAAAGCATGAGTCAATGTTTGTGAGAGAACTGTAAGAAATAAGTTTAATGAAATGCAATATACATATAAATTAAAATGATTATTCAGTTAATTAATTAAAATGCCTTGTAGGCAATCATGATTTTTAGGCATCTTTCTCATTCCATTGATAGAAAATAGGTTTGGTGATAATGAAGTTGTTTTTATTATGGCTTTAAAAAGGGACATTTTAAAAAAAATATAGATTATAGGCCCAATGTTTTGGGCCCACTTTCTCGATTTAATAAATTGTAAGTTTCATGCCTTCTTTGATTCAGTTAACTCCTACTAAGCAGAAAGTAATTAACCCATTAGTATAGTGTCTCTCAACTTTTTAAGTAATAGCACACCTAGGAGCAAATGAAAATATCACAGCACACATAGCAAATTTTTTTAATTTAGACGTTATTAAATACATGCCCAAATATGAACTTACTTTATTTCAATGTTTCTATTCAACTATTTGTGCAGCTTATTTAGTGTAAAACCTGTGCCTGATGTTTTTCGTGACAATATTTTGCAACAAATTTAAGAGGATTACGCAGCATGGCAGTTGAGAATCACTGCATTAGTGAATAACATACATTTTTGTAGATAGAGAGAGTAAGTTACCTAAAATTTCAAATCTGCCAGCCCTAAGATTATCAGCAACGTAGATAAGGCAAGAGTAGTATAAATTTTCAGATAACTAATTTTTTTTCTAAAAAAGTAATATTTTTTGTATTTTTAAAAAATTTTTTTTAATTTCTTAATCTGACAGATTTTTATCACTTTAAACATTATTTTAAGTGGATACTCATATTTGAGTAAACTCTCCATTTATTTATGAAACAGTATATTTATTTATTTTCATCTACCAGCCTAAATATTTGAGAAATCTTATTAAATTAAAAAATAGGTCAATTTCATTATTATTATTGGATTTCAGGAAGAGAAAGTCCCTTCAGATCAGTGATTCTTATCTGCTGTGTATGCGGCAAAATATTGCCACAGCATACACACACGTGTGTGTGAGAAGGGGGCACCTGAATGTGGTGTAATGGTTTACAAGCTTGTCTTGCTAGAAAAATTACAACTGAGTAGTGGGTTTGATCCTCACTGGGTTCTCCCTAGTTTCGGCCTTGTGCCACATCTAATCTATCCTTGGGAAATCACTATACACACACACACACACACGTGTGTGTGGGGGGGGGGAAGTAGTAAATAAGGTGTACAAATAGTTGAATAGAATCATTGAAATAAAGGGAGTTCATATTTGTGTGGGTATTTTTTTTAAAGATCTATGGACTTATTTCATAACATTTAAATGTATACCCTTTAAACATTTTACTAGGTGTGTCATTACTTAAAAAGGTTGATAAACACTCGTCTAGACCAATGTGAGTGAGTAAATTATTTTGGAAAAGACACACAACCTTCAATTTTTAATGATCGTTTTAAATCCAGAGGGTGGCCATAAACTTTTGGTCTCTAGTGTATTGTAAGAACATATACAAATATATTAGAACAGAGGAAGGAAGAGCAAGGAAAAATACTTACTATAATGAGGTAAATTGAAGAATCATTGAAAGTAAGAAAAAAAAGCTTACTGGTTATCATAGATTGCTGCTCAGAGCTAAGATACAAAAATATAACGCAAATATTCCTATTTACTTATTGATGACATTGGATCTAGGTTCAACTCTATTATTAAAAAGAATTTTTTTACTACTGAAATGTCTGCCTAGGGATTTTAATTGTTTATTTGCAATGGTAATATTACCTATTTTCTTACAAGGAAAACATTCAGCATTCATTGACCAGATAGCCAATGCTACTTAAGTTAAGATTTTTTTCACTCGTTGGCCGTCAGGCTAGGATCAAAATATAGTATCTGTTCTCATTATCTCAAATGGTAATTGGTTATATTAGACCCTTTTCTTTATAGGGAAACATTCAGCATTCATTGACCGAGCAACCAGTGCTACTTGGATTAGGCTTTTCTTCATTAGTTGACCATAAGGCTGGGATCAAAGTGTAGTATCTGTTCTCATTTCTGATGATATTTGGTTATATCAGCTGATTTCTTATAAGGAAACATTTGGTATTCACTGACCAAGCAGCCAGTGCTATTCGAGTTATGCTTTTCTTCACTCCTTGGCCATTGGGCTGCAATCAAAGTGTAGTATCTGTTCTCCTCATCTCTAATGTGTATATTAACTCTTTTCATTTGGCATTCATTGACCGAGCAGCCTGTACTACTTTCAGTTGAACTTTATAAAATCCTTTTTATAAAATGGGTTTCTTAAGTCCATTAGATGCAAAGTGTTGTACCTGTTCAAAGTGTAGTATCTGTTTTACTCATCACTAATTAGTGAGTTTTTGCAGCTTATTTAAGGCTGGAAAATATTTTTAGATTGTAAGAATTTTTTGAGATAATAATAATTTTACAGATTCAAGTCCTGCGAATTAAACCATAGTTGGAGGAGGGAAAAGAAGTGGATTCATACATTTCCTAAAAGTATTTGCACATAAGTGGATATAATAAACCTGACTGGAATTGGAACTCCGCTCTCTGATTTCCAACTTTGAGTTGTTATCCATTACAACACCCACACATCCAAGCTTACAGGTATTCCCAAGCAGTCACCCATCTAGGTACTGACTAGGCCTGACATTGCTTAACTTCTGTGATTGTATGAGAACTGGTGTTTCAGCATGATTTGTCTGTAAAGTAGAAAAAACTTTAATCAAAAATCGTACAAGATGCTTTTGCCAAGCTATCTTGCCTTAGACACATCCACTGTTGCTACAGTTGCAGTACATGTGGGAGTCCTGATCAGGATAGCATTTCATTTATTTGTTTTAGTTCCCTAAAATTCTTGGTTTTATAAAGATGCTGGTAGTATGAAGGCTTTCATATCAAGACAATACTTCTCATTTGTTACTTTTTTTTTTTCAAAAGCTTTGAGTTAATTTTGCTCTGATAATGATTTAATATAAAATATGGCTTGTTAATTTTAACATTTCCATAACTAATCTGCTCACTATTAATCATCTAAGAGATCCCTTTCTGCCTTCCATTAGCATGGCTGATGCTAATCTCCAGAATGACTTGCTGCACCTTCTCAGGCTAACATTCTTGGCTTATATATATATATATATATTTTTTTTTTAAGCATTTCGCCCCAAGCAATACAAGAGGGCCACTAGTACACAAAAGGGCTACAGAGAGTGTAAGTAAGGGAAAAGACTTAGTATAGGTGGGGGGGGGTGTTGAGGAACAAATAAAAAGGGGAATGGAGGAGAATAAAAAGAAGAACCGGGATTAAGGCAACAAAAGATGTCCATTGACATTTCAATTTTTGAAGATTATAGTTATCAGGGAAGCAAGAAAGAGAAAGGCAGATCCACTCAGGAAGTGCAAGAGAAGAAGCTGTTGGAGTAGAAGAGGTGGTTACATTTAAGTGTTTTGATAGTAAGAGTGGGACTGAGATGCCAACTTAGTAGCATGTACCATGCATTTGGGGCACCAGTGAAAATAGCTCATCATCAAATGCCATGAAAATATTTATAGAAAAGACAGAGGGAAGCAACAATATGTCAGTTGACAAATTTGCAAAAAGAACTGATTTTTAAGCTCTGGAAAGAAGTTAAAAATTACAGGAAAATCTCAGACAACCTGAATATTCCATTTACTACCATTACTTCATTCATTATACAGTATAAAAAACTCAAAACTGTTGAAAACTAAAGAAGAACAGGTGCTCCATGGAATATTTCTTCAAGATCTTTGAGGAAATTAATGCATCAAATTAAACAAAACCCAATGGCTACTTGTCAAGAGTTGCAGGTTTATTTACTTTCATCAGGAATCTGTGTCACTAAACAGACAACAAGCAATGAAATTCATAGGAACAATCTAACATCATGCTCCCTTTGGAAAACTCCACTGCTATTGAAAAGATACAGAAATTCCAGGTTGAAATTTGTTCATAAACATAAAGATAAGGAAAAATCGTATTGAGAAAGAGTATTATGGACAGACAAAACCAAAATTGAGTTATTTGGATGTAATTCTAGAAATCATGTATGGAGGAAAGATGGCGATGCCTTCAAACAAAAGAACACAGTTCCAACAATTAAATTTGGTGATTGCAGCATCATAGTTTGGGGATGTTTTTTCTGCAAAAGGTACTGACAACATATCAGTAATAGATAGTAGAATGAATGCCGCAGAATATCAAAATATTTTGGAAGCAAATTTAATGATTTCAGTTAAAAATCTTGAACTTTCTGCTGATCAGATCTTTCAACAAGATAATGATCCTAAGCACACTGCAAAATCTACAAAGAAATGGCTTGCTGAAAATAATGTAAATATCCTGGAATGGCCAAGTCAGTCCCCAGATTTAAACACAATCAAGAATTTGTGGGGTTATTTGAAAATTCAAATCCAATCGAGAGCTCCAGCAAACATCCCAGATCTGAAAATCATATGCGAATAAGAAAGGAACCAAATAACAACTAATATTTGAGAACTACAAGAAGAGGTTGGTTGCTGTAGAAGTCAATAATGGCTAATATACAAAGTATCAAATGAAGATTATGTATTGTAAAAATTATTGATTACATTGGTGAAGTTGAATTAAAAAGAATAAAAACTTGTAATTCCAACAGATAATTTATTGTTAAAACAGATATATATTAAAGATGATGTATTCTTTTTTGTATTGTACGAATACTTTTTTCACCCATTAAATGGATAAATGGGATTTATTTCTATTAAATCCCATTTTTTTTTCTATTTTCTATGTATATTTAGTTATTATGCATCTGTGTACAGTTAATTATATGAAAAGTATGTTTATTCATTAGTTGGAAATACAATAAATTTGTATCTGTACGAATATTTGTTTCCCCCCATTTTGTGTGTGTGTGTGTGTGTGTATATATATATATATATATATATATATATATATATATATGGGCATGTGGCCAAGTGGTTAGAATGTTTGCTTTCTAAACATGAGACCCAGGTTTGAATCTCACCATGGTCGATTTGTCATGAAGGTGACTTCCTGATGTTATCAAGGTTGATCCCAGCATGCGACACCTTTTAGAAAGTGCCTGAAAACCCTACCATGTGTTGACCCAAGCCTTGTGTGTGAAACTGGGTAGATGAAACTCTTATGGGCTGTCGATAGATGTGATAGCATGAAGCCACAAGTCATCATGGCCTTGTTCAAATTGTTGATCATGCTAAATAACATGCTCCCTTCCAGAAATTGTAACCAAGGTCTGCTCAGCATAGTTGCAGTATAAATCACTGGTGAACTCTGTGGGTGTTGAGCAAACACAAAAATGTGCCTAAGCTAGCGTCTATAAGAGTTGGCTAGCTGCACTAGTAGACTTGTATCCTTGAATATAATGGCCAGGTATATATATATATATATATATATATATATATATATATATATATATATATATATATATATATATATATTATATAATAAAACAAATAAGGATGCTATAAGAACAGTGCTTGATATAAAATGTATAAACATAGTTAATATAAGAGATATAAAAATTAAATAATGTTCAAATATTGCTGCTTTTTTGTGAATTGAGTATCTTGTCCCTTGAATCACCTGAAGATTTTGATCTAGCTGTATAACAAACTAGGAGTTCAAGTGAATTTTTAAGCCACAGGAAGGCAGCAATATATATATATATATATATATATATATATATATATATATATATTATAACAACATTCTCAGGCCTTTTATTTACTTTGGTCAAACTAAGCAGTAAAGATCAAATATTTTGCCAAAGATAATTTTAAAACTTAAAAATAAAGAAAAATGATATCTCTCAATTTTTTTAAACAAGTCTGCATCTCAATGAACAAATTTCCGGAATGTTGTTACCTCGAATTTTTTTGACTCCCATCCCTCGAGGAGGAGAATAAAAAAGATAAAAATGACTATTCTTTTTCTCTTCAAGAGAGAATAAAAAAATGAGCAAAAGCCAACTCAATAAAAATCTATTGGATATTGGTTAAACAAAAAAAAAATTGTTCTTTTTACACAAATGACTTTCCACATGCAATTATTGACAAAAACAAAAAAGCAAAGAGTTGATTCTTATTGGTCAAAAAAAAGAGTAACAAATTTATTTTTGTATAAAAAAATCAGTAATATTTGTTTACCAATCACTTTCTTTTTTTTCTGACTCTTATTTTAGACTTTAGTTTTTCATTTGCTGTCTTAATATTAGATTATTGTGGAGTTTTAAAAATAGCAGGAAAAAAAAAATTGAAAACATAAATTAGGATTTAAGCCTAAAATACTCAGATTATGAAGTCATTATTTTACATACAATAAAATAATTTATACTACCTTTTTTTTGACCTTTGGTAAATTCAGTCATTTTGTTTGATTTTTTTATTATAATGTCTACTATGTCTCCTTTACGAATTCCAGTGGCAAATTTTAAACAGAAGCTGAGGCATGCTGTTCTGTATTGGATAGCTTTATATCTGATAGATTTTCTATTAGATCAGGCCTTCCAATATATTTCTATCTACAGTAAATTTGCACCTGATTCTTACAAGATTTCATCATTTCTAGCATAACTTCTATTATCATAGCCTTGTCGGCTGGGGCTACAGAATATGCTGACAGCACCTCTGCAGAGGGGTAAGACCCTCTCCAATAAAGTGTCCTGGGTATGACGATAAGCTACATCCAGCAGCAAGGCTTCTGATCAGGAGGTTTTGAGGAGCATGGAACCACCTCTTAATTGCTGTTGTTCCCAGGTTAATCCTGATCTGGAGTGGTAGCACCTGTTAGGGTCCCAGCTATGGGCAAATAGTTAACCCCTAAACAAAAACAAAGCACTATGAAAGTATAAAAATAGGTTTTTATATTAAAGTAACCAGCAATACATTTTTGAAAAATATTACCAGCAAGACATTCGACTCTCAACGAAAACCCTCTTTACAAAATAAGTCAATGAAACCTGAACTACAAAATGATTTCTTACAAAGAATACATATTCTATTCATACAAACCTATCCTAAAATCTTGTCGGCATCAAATGACCCATTGAGGTGTTGATATGCCATAAAACAAAATAAACCAAACTATTATCACAGTGTGGAATTTCTTCTAGCAAAAGTGATGAAAAGAAAAAGAATCTAAATGAAATAAACTAATTAAAAAATAAAAAATTTCCAGCATCTCTCATTTGTGCACATGTGTAGTCACACCAACATAACAAATTTAGTCCAATGAAGTCCTAAAGGACAAAATGTATCACAAGAAAACTTTTTCCACTTTGTCATACATTTTCCCTTAATATTGTTCTTGAGATATATATATATATATATATATATATATATATAGTCTTAAGACATGCTATATTTATGGGATAAATTGGTCAGTATCAGAGGTAGAGCATGTGTAAATATAAAAGTGAACATAGAAAACACTTAGAAGCGATAGCCTGTTTCATGCTAGATGCAACCGCCAGACCTGACGATTGTATCTAGCATGAAACAGACTGTCGCCTCTAAGTGTTGACTTCTATGTTCACTTATATCAAACAAACAAACAAACAGGCAGACAAACACACTCTGGGCTCTTGGTAATCTGATTTGATTTCTGGTCTCCACTTATCCCCAAAGATCCCAACACATTTTTCTTACATAC